TTCTGTTCCAGAATCCAATCCAAGATACCACATTGCATTTATTTCCGGTCTCCCCTGTCTCCTCTGGTCTGTGACAGTTTCTGATTTTTCATGACCTTATTTACCTATTTTTCATGGCCTTGACTTTATTTTTAACGATATTTTATTGTGTTTTTGGTGAAAGTTTACACAGCAAGTTAGGTTCGCATTGGACAATTTCTACCCAAATTGATCAGTGACATTACTTACATTTTCCACATTGTATCAACATTCTCTTTGTGTTCTGGTTGTCCCATTTCCAGTACTCTTGTTTCCCTGCCTCTGTATCTTCTCATATTTGCTTTGGATTAAATGTTGACCTTTTGGACTCACAGAAATTTTTTTTGGTAGAGCACCAATCTGGTAATATCCTTTACTTTGTGTGTCACTCTGCTTTTCTGCTAAAAGGTGATGTCAGAAGATAGTTTTGGTAAGGTTTAAAGAGTATCTCAGGGCGATAGTCTCAGGAAATCCTCTGTTCTCAAGTGGTTCAGTTAGGCTGTCCTTTTTTAAGAATTTGAGTTTTGTTCTGCATTTTTCTTCTATTCTAACCAGGATTATCTGTTGTGCCCTGGTCAGACTGGTCAGTGGTGGTAGCCAGGCACTATCTGCTTCTATGACCTTGACATTCTTAAGGAGAACATCTCAGCTATTTTATATTTATGTTTGCTGGTTATTCATATCTTCCAGCTCATGGAATATTACTGTTTTGTATCTACGTATATTGTAGAAAGCTAAGATTAACTTAAATGATTAATTTAACATTACATTCTATATTTTATCACAGTTCAAAGCAAACACAAATGTGAAGAAAATTATTTTGGTTGTCCTAGTGGGAGATGCATTTTGAACACCTGGGTATGTGATGGTCAGAAAGATTGTGAGGATGGATTTGATGAATTCCACTGTGGTAAGACGTTGTATCTTGTTTTAGTCTTGCAAATCATGTCATTTATATACTGATATTCTCTTACATAGGGATTTTATACAAAAAATTGTTAACCAATTTTAATTTTTTTATATTATCAAGTACTTCAAAATGGTGAGAATTAGAATAGCACAGCAAAGACTAGAATGAACAGCAACAATCCTCTATTTTAGCCCTCTCTTCTAACCTTTTCTTTTTTGTTATTTGAGTAGTTACCTTTGTAAATCTAAATGATATTCTTATACATTTACTTCCTGATTTATTAACATTAGTTGGTATCTACTGTATTTACTTTTGACTATGAAAAATATTTTGCTCACATTACTTATTATCCTCCCCTTCCCTGTTGTTGTCAACTATATTATTATCATAAAATTTTCTCTTAATTGCAAGAGTAGTTTTAAATAATATTATTAAAGTTCTGCATCTTCAAACTCTCACCCTTCACTCTCTACCTTCGAATTTGTGTACGTACGTACATTTAATTTCACAATGTCAAGGTAAGAAAACATTTTATAATCTATTTTATAAAATTTAGAGATTTTGTAACTTCTAGGCAAAAAAAAAATTCTACAGAGAAACAAACATATATTCACTATTTTCTTTTAACACAGATAACCTACATTATGGTGAATAGGCAGAGTAGAGAAAATATTAAAAGTGGGTCTTCTGTGAAATGTCAAACTCCCCTAAAAGTAAATGTCATCATGAAATGTGAAGGTACATTCTGTTTGATTAAGATGCTATATATCTTTACATTAGAGCCAAATTCTGAACAAGGCTAACAGAGAACTTTAAAA